ACTCCATCTTAAGGAACGTCTGTACAGTGCAACCATGGAACGTCAACTATTTTTTTTACTTTTACATTTGCTATACAAAATGATGTGATTTACTACTTGGGCCAGTATGTATCAACAGAGGATGATATTTTTCTCATGAGATGGCATGTTAGGAAGGGTTCCATCTCTACCAGCCACTAGATACAACCACTAATCTGGTTCTCACTGATTTTTTTAACCTTCCAAAACACCTAAATGAAATATTCAGCTTTCAGTACTGATGCTATTATGTATCTGCTCCAAGCTACAGATGAGGCTTGTGTGCTTTGCCCAAGCCAACTGACAGAACTGCTGTGAGAAATGTCTGTTGTACTGCATTCTGGGCTGTTGTGTTGTTTTTTTTACAGTTTAAAATAGGGTGTCTCCATGATGTAAATGCAAACCCAGATTACTTTGGCAGGGAAGCGTGTTGTATGATTGGAAAGCGACCTAAAATACTATTCCGCTAAAGGGTTTAAATTAGCTCGCATCTGAAACTCAACTTATTTCATTCATTTCTGCATATGTACACCCCCCTGTCTCTGCAAATTGTGCCTTTGAGTAACCACTGGAGGTGATGGGAGAGGCAGCAGAAAGGAAGGAAGAAGGAGCAGGAGAGGGAAGGTCTGCTAGCAAAGCTGTTTGTAAAAAAGCTTGGCTGTTTCTGCCCCTTTAAGAATGCTTTTGCTGGTCTCTGGGAGGTGGAGAGAATGGGACAAGACAATCAGCTGGCGGCAGTGACAGGCGAAGAAGCCAGGCATAGGTGTCCTTTTTGTCTTTTAGGAGCTCCAGCTGCCAAGAATACTCCACTCCTCAGAGAAGAGGGAGGGAAAGGGAAGACAAGTGCTTTCCCCAGGCAGGAGTGTGTGTGTGCATCTGTATCTGAGTGTGTGTGTGAGAGAGAGAAAGAGAGAGATGCTGATGGGGAATACAGGGGAGGAGCAGAGGGAGAAAAAGGTGGAGGGTGAATCCCAACAAGGATATGCCCTAGGATGCACCCCACTTCTACCACAAAGGCAGGCAGTAGCAAGGTGAAAGGTGAGGAAGATGACCTGAGAGGCAAGGATTTATTACTGACCTATCTCTCATTCTTTTTTGGGAGGAGGTGGGGAAGAGACCCGAACACACAACACACTGGTGGGAGGGCAAACAGTGTTTCAAGTAGTGATTGATAGTCACGGGATTTTAAATCGAATCAATTTACAGCCAAGCTTATTGTGAGGCAAATGTAAGTTAAGCCATATGGCAATGGAGACACTATAAACTGATTCCTTGGCGCCTTTGCTCTTTCCTGAACCTGCCACCTTAATCATACACAGGCCAGTTTGTCTTTAAAAATAATGGCCATCTCATCTGACCAGATTTTGGGGCTTCCTCCCCAACTTCAAAATGTCGTATCATCTCAGCCTGAAGAAGAATTCTTGACAAGTCAAAAGAATGTTCATAGGAATTACTCTGGTTTTCACTTTAATCCTGTATCAAATTTGTTCTTTTGGGTGAACTTTTGAGATGCTTACCAGAGAACCATTGTAAAAAACAAGGGGAAGTGAAGGAAAAGCAAAGGAAAGAGAAGGTGGAGGAGAGAGAAGTAAGACAGATGGGAAATACTGTTTGCCATGTTAAGGAAGGAAAAAAAGCCACCACTGAAGCATAGGGATTTTTCTTTGCTACTGAATTCAGTGTTCCCTGTTGAGAGAAATATAGGAGGGGGCTGCCCACATCATCTACTAGCATGATGCATTATGTCATTATAGTCATTATGGATACATTAGAAAGTTTTCAAGGGTACTGAAATGACAGCCAAGTTGCCAAATTGCCATGGCCTATTCTCCTTTAGCAGTATAACATTTAAAAGGGGCCCAACCAGTCACAAAGCACTGCTTGGTTTCATTTTCCTTCTGCCACCATTAAAAGGTTTAACAAAAAAGGAGCAAGGGCTCCTACTGCTAATCTCTTTGTCTTCCCTAGAATAACAGGTATTCACTCTTGCATGCCTTTTGTTTTGTCACTGTAATGGACTATGCTAAAATAGACATTTGTGCATATGACTCAGAATAAAACATTTACCACATCCCATGCAGTTTTACTCATTACACATGCCATCAAAAAGAAACCTCACCTTATCAGTGGCGAGCACAAAGTTTAAGATATCCTATCCTTACCCAAGGAAGAGTTTGTAACAAGATACTCTTAAACGAGGTACCAAACGCCTAGCTCAGAATAAAGGAACATGAGGAACATTCCCTATTGTTGGTACCTATGGAATTCTCCTCACATTACATTAACATAGGAATGATGTTCTTAATCTAGGAATTTTTGCCAGTTTGTGGTATGGCTCTCTATGTGTGATTGCTGGTTGTTCCAATGCAATTATCAAACCAGCTCTCATCTGGCTCTTTGATAAGAACTCTCTGAGCAGAGTGTTTAGAACAGGAGAGATATAGTGTAAGGAAATACTATAGCCAGTCTCTTTAGGCATCAAAATATTTTTTTTTTAAAAAAGCCCTTCACAAAAATGTATGAGCAGATTAGTTAAGGGGAAAGCAATGCTTCAGGTGCCCAGTCTCAAGCTGACAAGAAATTTAAAGACAAACACTAGCATGCTGAACTTTGCCAGAGACTGCAAGGCAGTGAAGTTGTTGACACATGCTCCCTTCATTCAGTCCCTCTTAACATTGCTGCAGTTGCTTATTTTGAGTGAATCACAGCTTGTCCACAGTCTTCTAAGGGAGGCCATTATACAATTCATCACAGTAGTCTAGCATGGACATTAGGAAAGTATGGATAACATTTGCCAGACTGTCTCTGTGCAAGACAGAACTAATGGAGTGGGAAATGATGGGGAGCATCACAGAATTGTGTNNNNAAAAAAAAAAAAAAAAAAAAAAAGGCCTACAAATCTTCAGGCTGATTCCACCTTTGCTGGGTAAGCACAGTTAATGGCTTCATCCTTCTGTGTCTAAATCAGAACTTGGAAATAACAAGTTACAAGGAGCATCATTCCCTGTAACTAGATCACCCTAGAAGTGTGTTGCTAAATAATTGCAATATCAAGTCCAAAAACCCTGATAGTATTCACATGCTGTCCTGTGTCCCACCACAGAGTGTTTTCTGATTCATTTAACTCCACAGCAATATCACTTACACTACCTCTCAATGGTTATTCTGGCTATATTTCCTTTTGTTCTCCTAACAGTTACAGGCTGTCCTATAACAACATTCTTACGGTAGTTCACAAAAAGAAAAAAAATAATCAGAAATTCAGTTGCAACCAAAAAAACAAACCCCTACATAAATGTATTATAAGAACAGCTGCAGAGAGAGAGAGAGAGAGAAAAGATGAAAGCTAAGCAGGAATCCTTTGCTATCAGTTTAAATCAGCCATCCTGCTATGAGTGGGAATGCCTAAAAAGCAGCACATCCAACACCAAATTTAAACAAACTCTTCTAAATTCTAAAGGTTGGTGGTACTAAAAGCACCTGAGAGATGATTTAGGGTTGCTCCAGCCACCATCTCTCTCTAGTTTGGCTAGTTTCTCAGCCAAAATCAGGCCTGAACCCTGATTGAAATTGATTGAGAAAATCAGTTTGATTCATAGGATGTCTGGATGCCTGGAGTTGGCCATCAACTATATATTAAAACATATTGCCCAGGAAGGGAATGTTAGTCACTGGCCAAAAGTTTTTTCCCTGCTACAGTGCAACAGTTGTTCCACTGCCTTCTCTAAGTATGTTGGGCTGCCTTTCTGTCCGTCTCCTGGACACAACCACATACCCCCCCTCTGCTGTAGATGTTATAAGCAAAAATATATAGAGTCTGCCTATGGTTGACAGGATGCAGCCACTTTGCCTGAGTCCTAAGGATGTAAGAACATAAAGCCGTCCACCAAAAATACATCAGAGGTTATCGTGAGAAGATATAAGATGACCGAGAAGAGTTCAGCATGATATGAAGGTCATGGCAGGTAAATTTACCTGGCAAACTTGTCATAGGTAGCTACTGAGGTTTCTTCATATCTCCTGCTGGCCAGATCGCAGGAGGCCCTGAGAAGCTCCATAAGCCAGAACACTGGGACAGTGCTCTGATGATGAAAGAAAAACTGCTTATCCTTCAGAGTAAACTTAACTGTTAACCTACTCTGTCCACAGATTACAGTAATTAGTGAACTCTTTCTTTGCTTGATCTGATTCACTGTTACACATCTTGATCTATTTCTGATGTGAAGGTGAAGGTAGTGCCGGGACAACTCTTATACAATGCTGTGGCCACTGATCTCCAGAGTTCTGTGTCTCACCCCCCCAACTCCATTGAACGCATGTGTGAAGCAGAGGCAAGACTTTGCCTGGAATCTTGGGATTTGGTGCCAACAAATACATGGATGACAACCAACTTTATTTTCTCTTTCCACTAAATCTGAGGAATCAATGTCTGATGTCACTCACACACTGGGTAAGGTTAAACAAACTAAAATTCAGTTCAGACAAGACAGAGGTGCTTCTGGTCAGCTAAAAGTCAGATCAAAGGATAGGGATTCAAATTGTGCTGGACAGGATGAACTGAACGTCTTCTGATCAAGGACTCTTGCTGACCCTCCATTAAATATGTATGCATGTAGGGATGGGACTGTATCCAATGTTATTCCATGTTATGGGAAGCATGTCTGGCCCTGTGGTGTAGTAGGCCTAGACAGCAGAAGATGCGACCTGAACTCAATGAATATAAGAAAATGCTGATTTAGGTTTAAATCCAGGCAGAATTTGAATTCTAATGAAAAGAGGGGAAAGATGTTTGCACCATGGGAACCTACTGGTTGGGGAGTTATGATGACTCTTCAAGTTTGAATCTTCTAGAAAACGTCCCCATTATTCACCATAAGGTCTTGTGTAGTAGCTTGTAAATTAGAAGAGGTTGTTATTATAATAAGATAAGATATATATATAATAAGATAATAATGCAACACTGCTGGGTATCTACTACTTACATCCATGAATTCTACATTGGCTTTTGGTCCAGTTGTTTCATTCAGGATTTTAATAGCAACCGGAATCTTCACACTCTCTCCCTCAGGAACCCAAACACCCTGAAATGATGGGGAAAAATATAGAGTTCAAAAATCAACCTATAAAACATTGTTTCAGTGCACTTATTTCGTTCATTCATTCATTCATCTATCCATCCATCCATTCATTCATTCACTGTATATACCACCCAATAGTATATTAACCAGGATATCCAAGGGGAGATGACAGGAAAAAACACTATGTTTACTTGGCACCATTGATGCTGGCCTAGTTCTCCCTCCCACCATTCCCAGTGAAGAATAAAAAAGGAAGTCACTTTCTGGGTGTCACTTGACACCTCTCGCCCTCCCACCCCTGGATGTTTTTTGTCCCCACCCACACCCACCCCTAGATGTTTTCACCCAAAGACATAGTGGATTAATAATGTCAAAGGAACAGACCTTATACACAGTTCCAAAGGCTCCTGATCCAAGAACTTTGACACGTTTTAGCTCAGTTTCTTTCAGAATGCGCAGCTGTGCTTGGTTGGGAGCTGTGCCACTTGGGGTCAAGGGTTCCACCAGCTGAAAAACAAAATGGGTGTTGATGGCTATACTGTGGATGGAGATTTGATGATGAATTCACATCAAACCCTTAAAGCAAAGCTGGAGATATTTTTGAGCACATACATGTTTTTTTCCTCTTCCAACACTGGTCATTGCATCTTAAATTCTTTGTTTCTTTATTTACTATATGAATAATCCAATAAAATTTAATCAAATAAATCTGAGTAATTTCAATGAAAGAGGATAACTTTTCAGCAAAATAAATGGAATTGGTAGATGCTCACCAATGGCTAGATTGTTCCCAGTATAAATAACAGTAAGGAAATAATCTGGGAGAAGATGACAAACCATTTAATATTCGTTTGCCGCTCTGCATAATACAGAATTTTAATGTGTGACTTGAAAACAAACTCTGCAGTGATCTCATGCATCCCTCTTGCTGTGAACTTTTTGAAAACACTGCTCTGTCAAATTGTAAAGAATGGGAAGAAGCTTTTAAAAAATTACTGGATTTTATTATCCTGGATGCCAGTATTTTACTGGACCCAGTATCTTGCTGGTGCATTTATTTTTATTGAGAGTGTAGTCCACATCTCTTCTGAAGACAATTTCAATCTTCACAAGGGAGACTCCATTCTCTATGAGTCAGGGTCCTCAAACAGACAACAGAAATATTCTTTTGAAAGATATGGTCTAGATAAATTAATGCTTCCAATTTACTTTTTTCACTACAGAATATATTGTTGTATGCATATCTTCAACATTCTGGGGAAGAACAAAGGTGGCGGAGACCCAACAACATCCTGAAAACTGGCCTCGCTAGTCATATTGCATATTACATTTAAAACAGTGTTTTAAAATATTTACAATGTATTCATATATGTTGGCATTGTAAATCTTTGTTTATTTTGTTCTTGCAAGCAAGAAGGAAGAATTTCAGAAGTTTTGTCTTTTCTGAAGGTGAGATTAGGAGAGTTTTTGTGGCTTTCTCACAATCTGGAGGGGGGGGTTGCCAAAAAAATATGGAAATATTTTCCTCCAAAACCTTATATTTTGCAAACGTCCTTTAAAAAATTGTTGTTTTGCACAAAATTCAAAGTTCTTTGCTGATGGTCCTCCTAAACAAAACGTGCTGGTGATTTTGCTCTCAGGAAGGAGCAGACAACTGAACAGTGGTTGATGGTTTTTCCAATGATGACAGAAAACTTGTAAATTTTCATGGCATCCTTAATATAATACTCCCATTCTACCAGAGCCGTACCCTAACACTTAATTCTACAGCAGAGATGACAAATCTTATTTATGAATCTGTGTTCATTAAGACCTCTTTCATGGGAAAAAATGCTTAAAATGTTTCAGAACTGCATGCAAGATAAAAACATTGCAAAAACTGACATATTTGGTCATATATTATCATTTTGTTCAGAATGCTTCCACAAATCCGACTAGTTTTACTTGTACTTATTTCTCATTGTATAGCTAAGTTATGAGAGCAAGCAGTAACCAGTTATGGTATTATCTATAGATGCAGTGTAGATGCTCTGCTTTCTGTCACAGGCTCTTTCTGTGGCTGACGAATGCAGGGACCATGGATTTTCACACCTGAACATTTGTGTATGTGGATCACTCAGTTCCCAATCGGTAACCATCTCTGAATTTGCTGCATCTGATAGGTTATTCGTGGAACCTTTTTCAGTCAGATAATCCATTGCACAGTAATAATCTTTTTGTCATGTGCTGAAGTGATTCTGTTAGGTCTCTTTCCCAAACGGAGGGTGAAAATACGATATTGTGTTTGACTATGAAAGGGTTGCTTCGCTGGGAGCCATCTTCCTTAAAGTGACCCTTCTGTGCACATGGGAATTGCTCCAGCCCAATTCAAAACAGAGTAGCCCTGCTGCTGGACTAAAAAAAAATAAAAAAAAATCCAGACTGGGCATGGAGCAGGATCACAATTGTTTATGATCTTCTGTACATCACTGGATGGCTGGAAAATAGCTCAAACCACACTGTGCCACAAGCAGTCCAAACTGCGAGCCAGATCTCCATCTGATTGCGCCCTAAAATTTCAAGATACCACCACAAAATAGTTTCATGCAGTAATTTACGATCAGCTAACTCTGGTTTCTAGGTTGGCCATAAATACTCCAAATACGTAAATACACAAGCAATAGATGAGGCAGAGTAATGACTGTCGTGTGTTATATGAAATATTTTGTTCCAGAGATAAATGCTTATTTACAAAACCATTTCTATTTGGCCCCTAGTGTGATTATTATAATTACAATTTAACATACAATGCAGTAAAAAACAAACAGCATAAAAACAGAGCGATAAAAAAGTCAGCACATTAAAACTTAATAGTTCAGCCATTTGTTATGCTGTTTCAGAAAAAAGGTTCATTCGTCCTAGTCCTGGATAATCTCAACAGAAAAGTGAATTGAGGGGCCAGGGAAAAGGGAAGTTCAGCATTAAATTAAGGATTTCTACCATTGTGCAAGTAATTGTGAATAACAAATCAGTTATGTTTCTTTGTCTTATGAATATTAATCACAGAAGACTATGAATGGAATTTAATCAGAAGACTATCAACTGATTAGAACTGTGCACTGATTTCATTTGGAAATATGTATTTCTATTAAAGAGGGAGAGATTGAGAGGACTAGCCTCTGAAAAATGACAAATAGTCTGTCTTTTCCCAGGATAAGGAAAATAATTAAGGTCCACTCCTGCTCCAATTGGGTTGAAAGCATGGCAGTGTTTCAAAGTGTCTGTTTGCAGGGCTAAATGCTCAATGCACTGCCATTTGAGCATCATTATCATGCCTCTGTGAACATTGCAGGCTACTTAATTACGAAGCTGAATACCAACTAGGCTGTGTAGGCAAAAATTATCAGGAACTGGGAATTACTTTATTAATCTAGAACAAAAACTAATAGGAAACAGCAAAAGCGAAGGCATAAGCCTCACACTATAATTTTCAATACTCTAGTTCTCTTAATTAACTTTCAAGCATCCAAATGTATGTTAAACATTAAATATACAGTATGTGGAAGGAGGAACAGTATTGTATGAATGGTATATACAAAACCTGAGAAATTATATTCACAGAATATAAGTCTTTTTACAACTTCTCCTTACTACTGTTGTTCCTACTGTTACCACGATTACAGCAACAACTACTGCTTCTATTTGTGATCCATTTGTCCCCATAAAGATCAGGGAGAAATACAGTATATGAAGAAAATGGAAAAACAACGAGCTAAAGCGACATGTACAAAACTTCTGTATCTTGCTATTTTCAGGCACACAGGTTCCCAGACTGAAACTTAAAAGATTTACAGATTTAAGAAAGAGGTCTACTGGAAATGTACACATGCGTAAGTGAAATCAGCAAAGTCATGGTGGCAAATTGCAGCTAACTAATGAGATGCCAGTCACATTCCTGGCTGTGTGCCTGTTGCATGACTAAGTGCACAGCCAGGAATGCAATGAGCACCTCATAAATTACCATAACTTTGTCACCACAATGTATGCAATTTCATATACACACAGCCAGTTTGGTACAATGGATCGAATGACACACCAGGACTCAAGAAAGCTGAGGCCTTGGCAATTTATGGGGGAAGGGTGGAGATGGTAAAACCACTCCCCAAATATCTCACTTACTTTGAAAGTCCTTTTAGAGACATCGTAAGTCACTCTGATTTGATAGCATACAACACAACACAAATCATGAAGGAGGTTCTGGACATTGTCTTCCACCCATATATTGCCGCAGGTTTTGGAGTTCCAAATTATGTGATATATTTTCTTGCAGAACATATCACTGTCACTATTTGGCTGGTTTTTTTAAACCAGATTCCTTCGGTATGCTACACAGATACAGTATGCCACCGTTTTAAGTGCTATGCTTTTACTTATTGTTAATACACAGGAGTGCACATGCCCATTGATTGAAACATTATAAAAAAGTAATCTAGAAGTGATTGTGCAGTAGTGACAAGATTCTTTTTGGGGGCAGTACTTTTGTCGATACTTATATTCACTTTTTCTTATAGTAAACTAGAAGAAAAATAAAAATGAAATGACAATATGCATCAAACATACAACAGACTGCACAGAAACTTATGACTAAACTTTTGAAATGTCCACAGTTAAATCAAAAGGCATGGAGAACCGAAAGTTAAAAACAAAAGAATGAGGGGATATCTGCTAACTCCTACTTCTAGCAGTACACCTTTGAATGGTCACTCTATTTAACTAATTTTTCCTGGCCCCCAATATGTTTCTCTGCTCTACCAAATGAATAGCAAAGGGATTTTTGTTTGTGTGTTCTCTGTGCATTTTGTTCTGTTGCATTTTCTCCATTCCAACTAGAGGAACACTAGCCCTTTCAGTTGTTCTGTTGGGAAAAAAAAACCAAACAGTTCTTCCTTTGCTCTTACAAGCAAGGCCCTGAACAGCTGCCTGATCATGCATGGTCTAAAGGATTGTAATAAAGTCTCCAGCAAACAGAGGCTTCAGTTTTGTGTGGGCATGAGGCTCCATTATGTTATCTGTGGCCATGTGGTGACATGCAGTGGAATGGTATTAACCTGCTGGCTATGGAACTGGACTGGCAGATGTTAGGAGCCCAAAGCTCATTTCAACACGACTGCCTTGAAATGCTCAGAACTTCCTTCCTTCATTGTCTGTAATTGAACGTCAGAATTTGACTATGCTTGTACTGGCTAAGAAGGAGATTGTCTACTTCATACTACCATTCATAGTTTTTACTGCAGGAAATAGCCAGTGTTCAGAAGAAGAAGCAGGAGAACAGTGACAGACTTGAGAATGATGTTTTGGATGAAGGTTCCCAGGATGAAATTCCTAATGAAAAATCTCATGACGAAAAAAAAAATCCATGATGATGGAAAAACTTGATCTTGGTGTTTCTGGGGGAAATAGGGGAGACTATGAAACATTGCCAAGGAGTTATCATAAAGTATAAAACACAAAGATTTTATCTCATCACATAAAGAGTACCATGACTAAAGTAAAATTATGGTTTTTAATAGAAGCTATCATCCACGTGGAACTGTTTGTGACATTAAATGGCTGAAACCCCACAGTAAGTCACAAGTAGAATAGGCCCATTAAATCAGTGGGAATTTGGTGAGTCAACACCTATGTAAGTTTTATTTATTCAAAAGGCCTACTCTAGTTGTGACTTAACACTGGATATCAGTCCATATGTTCTTCAGGAGATCAAAGTTTAAAAACACTCCAAATTTCAGTTCGTTTTGAATTTTTACTAAGTCAAACAATTTCCCTGGACTACTAAGTGCAAGTTTCTTCTCTCTCTCTCTCTCTCTGTATCATAAAATACAGCCCAAACAAAACTGATTCATAGATCCTGATTACATCATGATTCTCTTACATATCTTTTTGTAAGCAAAGCAAAATGTGATGCTTATATACTGCCCATAGCATTTAAAGCATTCTCTGGGCAGTTTACAATTTATTTATACAGGCTACACATTGCCCCCACACCAAGTGAGCTGGATACCCAATCTACCAACCTTGGAATGCTAAAAGGCTGAGTCAACCTTGAGCTGGCTACCTGAACCCAATGGGATTGAACTCAGGTCAGGAACAGAGTCTTGACTGCAGTAGTGCAGTTTAATCACTGTGTCAGGAGACTCCTAACACATTCATATGCACAGGAAGGTAAAGGACTAAAGATGGGGATGAACCATCAAAATAGTGTTTTGTTGTGGTTTGTGGGTCGTCAAGGTTGACAACCTTGGCCTGCCGGCATCGTTGCTGGAATGGAAGCTGTGGTTCAAGCCAGCAGTGCCTCTGCGGGCACTGATCAACTGGTTGGCACCCACAGAGACAGAGATCAGGCTAGCCAACCGGCATGCTTCCAGCCAGCTAGCCTGCTCTCTCTGCCCATGGGCCCAGCCCATAGGCAGAGACAACAAGGTAGGCGGGCAGAACAGAACAATCAGCTGATCGGTGCCCATAGAGGAAGACAGATCAGGTTAGCCAGCTGGCATGGTTCCAGCTGGTCAGCCTGCTCTCTCCGCCCATGGGCCTGGCCCATGGGCAGAGACAGCACACAAGTTGGGAAGAACTGTACTGGCAGGCTCTTTCTGCCTCCATGAGTACCAATCAGCTGATGGTGCCTGCAGAGGCACAGAGATCAGGCAACTCCCCCTCCCCCCGAACAGCATTTTCCTTTCTTGTGGCCTAGGCTCTGTTTCACTGAAAGCGATGGCAGCGACAGGATAAGGTAGGGAGGAGGCAGGGACCAGTGGGAAGTGGGGAGGGGACGTGCTGCGGGGGCAGAGTGAGTGGGGCTGCTGAACAGCTGTTAGGCAGGCCCATGGGCTGAGAGAGCAAACTAAGCTGCCGGAACAGCCATTCTGGCAGTCTAGCTTGCTCTTTGGGGCCCAGGCCCAATGAAGGGATGAATTAAAAAGGTAAATATTCATCACTTTGTATTTGTCAGACCCCCTGGAAGTGACAAACACAAAGTGACGAATATTATACGAATCAGCAATTTCTGACAAACATCGCAATTTGTTTTTTTTTTATTCATTCCCATGTCTATAAAGGACGAGGCCACCTCCCTCCACACAGCTTTCTTCTGCCTCTGCAGCAATCACATTTAATTGCTTTGGTTCCAGTTGTGATGAAACTCTGCGCACGGGGGGGACGGAGTTGTACACACATGCAGAGGTGAAGTCACGCGGAGCCCTGCCCAGCAGGGCTGAAAATTAGAAGGTACGTTGACTGCCAGTCGTGCTGCTCTGCAAGAATGATCCTAATATATTTGGATGGGAAGAATTTTGTAAACATCCCAGACATGTGCTCAGTGCCTAGAACAGGGATGGGAGTGTTAAACTGGACATGAATTTCTACCATGTTCCCCCAGTGGCGATGCTGGTGGTTTGGAATCCAGAGACACCGGGAGAGCTGCAAGGAGCTGAAAATGAATTAGGCTAAGACACAGAGGGAGGACTTTTCAGTGAGTGGCATTTCTGTGCAGAAGAATAAAGGAAAGGAAAAAAGCCCTCACCTCAGTTTCCAGGAACCTTCGTAGGGCCCTCTTCTTTTTGATGCTCTTGCGTCTCACATAAACGGCAAATGTCAAACCCAAAATGACAATGATGAAAAGTCCACCAATCACTCCGGCAGCAATCAGGGGCGTTCTACAAAACAGGACACAACAACAACTGTGAGCCACAGAAACAAGGACACATGCAGCCGTTACACATAACATTTTGGAAATCCAGGTAAGTATATCATGTTGTGCGGTTAGTTTGTTCACATTTTGAATACAATAGGGTTGTGACAAACTCATCCTTTATCTTCTGAGTTATTACTATTTTTAAGCAGGCCAGCATGCATGGATGGAAGTAGAAGAAAAAGGGAACAGAAAAAAAAAGCAGGCAACAGGCATATGCTTATGATGACAATTTAATGATAAAAGAAGCCTCCAAACCTCTTTGGCAATCACTTCTGATTGTATGACAAGCACCAGCATTTAGCTATTAAGTTTTGCAAACAAAAACACTCTCTGCTGTGCATCATGTTTGTCCTCACAGCCAGCAATTACTCCAGTTTCAGATAGGAAAACAGAGCTGCGCCGTTCTTGGAAAAGGTAAATTTTGAGACTAGCCCTCCCAGAATGCCCTAGTCAGGATTAGAGGCATCAGGAATGTTTAGTATTTTAAGACACTGAACAAAATCTGCACAACATGAATTAAGTAATATATTCCTTCACCAGAGATACACCTTTGGTGTTTAAAAATCTACTACCCTATCCCTACAGTATGGCACTGAAGAACAGGATCATCATCATCATCATCATCATCATCTTAGAACTGCAGGGCCAGAAGAAACTCAATGGATCATCACGTCCAGCTCCTATGAAGAAGGCACAGTGGGGAATAGGACTCCCAGTCTCTGGCTCTGCAGCCAAAGACCTAAGTCACTGAGCTATTCAGCACTTTTTATAAGAGAATGCCAGTCTATAGGGCTGACTAGACTGGCCATTTTGGGGGTGGGGAGGATTGGGCTACAAAGGATCTACTGAGGTCAGAGGGAGGAGTGATGAGCCTTTCGGTGTTCTCCTCCCATCCAAATAGCAAACAACCCTTAATAGCCTGATCAGCTCTCAGTTAAGCATTTCCCCTGACTGCAGATAATCAGAAGTGAAATTACTTTTTTTACATCACTCCTCTGTCCCTCTGTCAGTGCCATTCTATTTTCTCCCTTTCTCCTCCCTGCTTCCCTTACCTCGTTCTGCAGCCACAAGATTGAACATTGAGCCTGCTGGAAGTTGAAAGATGAGGGTGTTGTCAACTGCTGTCTCCTGGCTAAACAATGAGCATGCCAAAAAGAATGCATGTCCTACCGCTGAGTCAGAAAGGTGTGCAACAGCTCCTAATAGGGAAGGATGAATTGTTCTATGTTGAAGCACATAGGGGATGGTCTTTACAAATCAAGGGGAAAACAAGTCTCCACTAACTTATCTTTGTTCTTAATGGGGAAACAACACAATCTGATTCCTAGCATCTAGCTCTGTGGCCTGCATAAGTATAGACAACGAGCAGATCACAGAGTAGTCTGAGTTGTCTCTGCTGCTTGAACTAAGCTACTCTAAGTATTTTGGTAGTAAAATGCAATTAAGTGCAATTAAGAACAAAAGAATGATAGTTTTGGCTTATGTACATAGCTGAGGCTGCAGATGGAATATTTTTAAAACTAAGGCAGGTAGCAAGAAAACAGTTGACTCTTTCAAGAGGAATGTTCTCATATTCATCTAAAGAGCTCTGCAATGTATGCCATATTCCTTCAGTAACATCTACTATTCTGTTCTGCGCATGTGCATGCACATACAGAGGAAAGAAGATGAATGTTCAAAGTTAATATTGCAAGATACATGAGGTGGCTCAACAGGGGGTTATGTATCAACTTTCCAGCAATTTCAAAGCATCAAATACATCTATCGTCCCTATGGTGCTGCTAGAATCAGGGTTTGGAGTCTAATTACTTGCATTTATGATGACTAAATATTTTTATAGTACAGGCTGGAGAACAGGAAGAGACACAAAATTCTGGCCTATGATGTAGAGCCTGGGGAGAGAACATCTGTTCTCCTATCTACTCTATTAAAACAGATAATATAATATATGAGTAGGCTGAGATTTGAGGCCTGGTTGCTACAGAATTTATGAAGAGAAATTACTAATCTTGATCCATGTATCTTTAAAGGGTTTTATGCACATACCTAAGTGACAGTTTCCCCAAAGTATTTCCATTAAGGAGTTTTAAAACTATGCCGGATACTTTTCCTTCCTCATGTTATTCACCCACATTTTATTTTTTTCCAGCCCTAATGGAACTTGAGCTTTACTCAGCTAATCAAAAAGAACACAGATTTCAATTACACAATGAAGTAAATTCAGATAGTTTTGTGAGCTTAAGACGTTGCCCAAACCCCTCCTCTCCAGTCCTGCACTCATAATTAAACCAGCTTGAAATACCTTAATAAATAAATATGGGCATATATGGACTAAGATGGACTAGGAAAGCACAACGGCAACTACATCTCTCAATTTCACCTTTGTGCTAGCAGAGTTTTACTGTTAATTTGGTATTTGCTAAATTTTAAAAGTTTCTTTCAGTTTACAGTGCTAATGGGGGTGTTGGGGGGGTGAGACTCTCCAATCTTAGAGATTCTGACAAACCAAACTTTTCCCAGAAAGTTAAAAATCTCATTGGAGATGAAATTCTGCCCCCAGCCCCACCCACCGCAGTGGATTTTTAAAAACACACACACATTCCTAGTGGCAGATTATTTTCTGCAAAGCAGCTTAAATTCTTTCAATCTGACAACATGGTCAGATGAAAGGGTTCTGGGTTCAGCGGGACAAGGTCTTCTCCCTTCCAAACACTCCTCCTGGCCCAAAACACTCCCCTTTTGTTTCTCCTTGAGTTTGGAGTTCTCATTTGGAGGGTCTGGGTCCATTCTAGAAAACTTTGTGGTGGCTGTGGTGACTGGGGATACAACCCTGTGTTGGCTTTCGTAAAGGACAAAGATGGAGATCTGTTCCTATCTACAGACTCTGAGATGTAGTCCCAGGACCACAGAGCTGGACATCGAGTTTGCCTTTGAATATTGCTAGGAGGTTTTGTACATTTAGGGGGAAGATTTTTTTAAAAAAATTGTGCAAACCTTAAAGAGGCTTACTACTACTGTAGCTGTGTCCTGTGATACTTTTGTTAAGGATTGGGGACATTTTTTGAGTGGGTGTCTATGATCTGAGCACGTCTAATTGTCTTCCTTGCATCAGTATTTCTACAATTTTTGTGGCTTTGCTCATAATTAAACTTCTCACTAGGAAGCCAAAGGGTCACCAAATCATTTCAGCTCTAGTATGGCTCCAGAAGGAATAAGGAAATTAGGATCATCCTGTCATAGCTGTCCATATAAGAGGACATAATTAACCCTACAGTCAAGGTAAGGAAGGCATAGGTACTGTGCAAGTACTACATTGATAAAAATCTCTTGGAATGAGTGGAAGGCAAATGTACACAATGTGTTCAGGCAACAGGACTTTCCAGGTGACTGGTATATTAAGCGGGTAGGGAAGAGGTTACAAAAGTTGGAGAAGACACAAAAGTTTGCCAGACATTTATGTGAATGAGATTTTAGGAGAAGTTTTTATTGTTTTCCTTAAGAGGTGCCATAAGAATGAGCATAGGTTTTGAGGGGATTTGTTGGTATGTGGTTTTGCTGAAAGAATTAATGTTGCATTTAAAATATGTCAGGTCTGATATAGATCAATTTAACTGTGAAAGAAAAACAGCTAAATCAATAGATTGGACACTCAGTTGAAGCTTCAACTTAAGGTTGTTCTCTTCATACACATGCTGCATATTTTCATATATCATATTGTTTCGAAAAGAAAAGAAAAGAAAAAAAGAAATAAAGAGAAGAAGAAGAATTATTTCTCCTCCTCAGGTAGAAACAGTTTAGTGACTACCTGTGCAACGTTGTACTTTCCAACTTGGTGCAAGGCAGATTTAGGGGATTACCCACAGAGCTGAGAGTGTGCCCTTGTGGCCAGGGAGCGGTTGAATCATTGCAGCACATGCTGTTTTACTGTATTTGGTATCAGGACATCCACCTGCAATACTTAAACCCCTTTCTTTTCCCCCACTCTGGCTGGGGCAACCCAGATAAAATCCAGCACCTGTTGAGTGGTACTAATAAGGAACTCACCCAGACAACAGCCAGATATATCCATTCCATCATGCAGAGGCGTCACATTATGCTGCCACACACCATTGAGCCTTAGCAATGTCATCTGGGTATCCCCTGGCATATGGCATATATGCTTTTTAACATTTTTCTGTATCTCACTCCCTTGTTGTTGTTGTTTAGTCGTTAAGTCGTGTCCAACTCTTCGTGACCCCATGGACCAGAGCACACCAGGCCCTCCTGTCTTCAGCTAAAAGACAGCACACTCCCTTGCACTGTATGCCAATAAAGGTCCTGAAACTGAAACTGACTACCAGCCCAAACTTTTCTCTGCATGAAACTTCTGTTATACCCTGAAAACTGGGTTAGGTTGCAGTAGGCATGTTTCACTCTACCAAGCTGCATTGGGTTTGTCCTGTATTTATTTTGCGTATTAAACAGAAATTGTGACACTGTAGGACAGAAAGGCAGCATATCCTCAAAATGTTTCAAAATATCATTAGGATGGCATGACAGGGAAGGAGAGAAATGGGTCTGGACACTGCTGACCCTAGTGTCAATGTCAGGCAGGAATCCCACCAGCACTTCCCAATCACAGAGCTTGCTGGGAGGGACTGGGTGATGTCACTGGCCTTGCATGCTTTTTTTCCCCTCTTGCAGCTTTTCCTCAACTGGTTTTTCTTTGGCTTTGAGCAGCAAAGCTAGAGGGCCTATACTTTCCCACTTGTTTATTAGCAGTAATAAACTAGAACACAAGATTTCCATATACACAGTCTGAATTGTTATCTCCCTGGAATTTATATTCTTCAAATTGTTTTTTTTTTTAAGATCTTCAATCATGATTTAAAATATGAAAGGACACTCAGGCTAGAAAGAGCAATCACAGAAACATAGAATGGACAGATAAACATCATACTGGGATGGATTGTTTTGGACTCC